GAGTCATTGCAATTATCCCTGAACTCGTATTAAAATTATCTGTTATCCTGTCATAAGGTTATAGCTGGGCTAGTTGGTAATCATTGCACATACTGGAATAAAAAAAACGCAAAGGATACTGTTGTCTCTTCTTATGAAATGGGAGGCCGGGTACTCAAGGAGACATTGGAGGCATCTTTATGTTCCAGAAACCAAGCATACACGTCACGCGATGCACGTGACATAAAACGATATACAGAGATTCACACCTGGTCGTCAGCGTGGGAACCATTCAGATTAACGTATCAAACCAAAACTAGTTTACAACAGCTCTCTCCCAGTTAGGATTAGAATCACTTATGTCAAAAATGATTAGGCGGACGCTAGTTCTGGTACTATGCCTGAGTGCTGCACCGACATGAGTAGGCGACCCTGAGTAATCTGATTGCGGTGTTGTATTACTGGCCACATCTGAACTCTGAGTGTCTGCATCACCGGATTGAACCATGGGCTCTCACAAGGAACAGAAGCATCACGCAGATCAGCATCATGAGGCAATGACACACACGCCTCAAATTGCAATTCAGAGCGGTATTCTTGGAACGACCGCCTCAGATGGTAAACATGCACAAAACACAATTGTCCGTTCACCAACACCAGATAAGTCGTTGGAGACTTTACACTCTTGATTGTTCCTTGACACAACTTCACAGTTTCACCACGCATCGTTCTCACGAACACGCGATCATCCATCGAGAACACTTTCGGTGCACACCTTCTCTTATTAGCTGCGCACCTGGTTTTCTCAATCTTTTCCTGCATCGCCATTTTCATGTCTGGTTTTATAAGAGACAACCTCGTCCTTAGTTTCCTCCCCAAGAACAACTGAGGGGGAGTTTTCTCTCTGAAGTTACGCGGAGAAGTTCTATAAGCAAAGAGGAAGTTGTCATGGCGATGTTGCATAGACCTTTTCTGATTGTGGTGCTGGGCCTCTAGAAGTTTTTTCAAGAGTGATTTCTTTACTGTTTGCACAACCCGCTTTGCTGCGCCGTTTGATTGTAAATAATAGGGTGTGGTGAGGGTCTGCTTCACATGCGGCATATCAGAAAATCGGTGAACTCTTTCGAGCGAAATTGCGGCCCATTGTCTGTGACAATCTCTACTGGTATCCGTGGGCTGCACACCAACCACTGACTGTCTCAATGGTTTGCTGTGCAATGGTTGATGTCATTATATTAACTTCTAACAACTTCGAGTATGAGTCCACCGCAAGCAACCAAGTCTTGCCTTCCTTCTCTGCAAAGTCTAAATGTACCCTTTCCCACTTGCTAGTACACAATCTCCATGGCTGCAGAGGGGCAGGCTGTCCAATCGACACAACACACTGGCACCCACCGCACCGCTTCGCTACATCTTTGAAAGATTTGTCCGTGCCAGACCATGGCTCGTGCAACTGCTTTCATCTTTGTGATTCCCATGTGTTGCTCAAGCAACAAGCTAAGCATGTCCTCTTGGAGGGACTGTGGGACAATTACTCTGTTGTTTCCCAGAAGACAACCCATGTCGACAGAGAGCTCATAGCTCCGAACAAAAATTGCTGATACTCATCAGATACTTTTGAGGCCAACCTCGACAGTTCATCCCTTGTACAGTACTCAAGACTTTGTGTGTTGCCGTTTCCCGTTCGACATATTTCGAGGTTACTCGGAGTTAACTCGCAGGTGAGAAATAAATATCTCATCTTAGTTGTCAGTCGTACTGCACAGGGGTAACCTTGACAGGCTATTAACGTTATTCATTGTTTTCCCCGACTTGTAAACAATGCAGTAACTGCAGTCCGCCAATAATGTCAGCCACCGATGTATGCGGGCCACAGCCACCGCACTAGCGGGTCGCTTAGTGCCAAAAAGTACCGTCAAAGGCTGGTGGTCTGTTACAGCCTTCAAGGGGCGTCCATACAAGTAGTTCTGAAACATTTAAACTCCAAATACAATTGCAAGCGCCTTTTTCTCGATTTGGGCATAGTTACGCTCTGCAGGCGACATCGATCTAGATGCAAATGCAATTGTTTTTTTGACACCATCCACAACATGGGACAGCAACGCGCCAAGACCATACGCCGATGCGTGACATGTCAGCTGATTATTATTGTGCACATTATACAGCTCTAAGATCTCTCTCACAAAAAAGCTTTTTACACGTGATAAAGTTGTTAGCACATTGGCCTGACCATTCCCACTCATTGTTTCAAACCTAGCAACCAAATTTGGCTGCTAGGCTCAAGCCTAGCAGCCAAATTTGGCAAAAAACTTGTGTAAGAGTTTATAAGACCTAAAATGCCTTAAGCTGAGTCAGATTCGTTGGTTCGGGGGTTTTTCGAGTCGCCTTCACTTTTTCTTTTGTAGGATGTAATCCCCAACTATCCACCATGTTTTCCAAGTACTGAACATGCATTTTTCAACATTCACTCGGATGCCGTGAGGACTCAGATTCTGCAGCACCTGCTTCACGCGGGTGTAGCTTTCTTTGTGGTCTCTGCCAGCAACGAGCACATTTTCCAAGTAGCAGGCGGTACTAGGTACAGCTTGTAGGATCTGATCCATGACAGCCTAAAGCATGGCGTGTGCACTTGCTACCCCGCACTGCAATATTCGGAACCTGAACAGGGCTATATGAGTGTTCACACCCTAATGAAAAATACACCAGGCAATCCTGGTGTGACATCAAAGAATCCTGATGTGACACCAGAATATCTGGTGTGCCCACCAGCGATGCTGATGTATCGAGCACACCAGCCTGGCGTGCCCACCAGAAATGCTGGTGTACCCGCACATCAGCCTGATGTCTACACCAAGGGAGTCTGGTGTCACATCACAAGGACTCATGCGCCGACCAGGCAGCCTGGTGTGCACACCACGCAGTTTGATGTGACACCAGAGTTGTGTTTTTGTTGCCTTCTCCCCCCGGTCCGCGCGCGTTTTCTATTAGTTTGTGTGCCGCTCCGTCCCCCGACGGGGTGCCTTGTTTCCTCCCGTCTTGGTGGTCGCCGGAGACCCCGCGGCGGGCTCCTTTGTGCTGAAGAAGTGTCCCCCTCGTCCCGAGAACTTTCCCGGGCGGCCTTGAGCAGCTTGGCGCGCTCGCCGGCTCGCCTCTTCGAGGGTTTCTCTTTCCCTTTCCGCCGGTATTCTTGTTTAAGTTTGAGAAAGTAAAGAAGTCTTCTTTGTGAGTCGAAGCCGAAAAGATGTGTTGGTGCGCTTTCCTTACTTCCGACGAGCTTGGTTTGGTAGCAAAGAAACAAAGGAAGCTAGTAATTATTACGAGTTTTGGGGCCGAAATGCCTACTACGAGCGAGGAGGGCGTCGACCGCCTGAAGCGAAAGAGGATTACCCTGCGAGCCGCCACAACAAAGATCATGAACGAGACTGGCGTCTGCTGGCCACGGATCCAACCGACATCGGTGAGCTCGGAGAAACATTAGATATTCTTCTACTTAAGGAGGCTTCCCTGAAAGAGCTGGACAAGGAAATCAAGTTATCTGTCGAATATGATGCCTTAGAAGAGGAAATTTCTGGTGCGGAGGGGTATGCGGAACGGATCAGCGTAACTAAGACACGAGTCAACCGCAAGCTGAAAGGCCAAGAATTTCGGAACGACAGGGCGTCCGGTTCTTCGACGCACGGCAGTGGCTCCGGACAAACTCCAGCTGATCACGGCCAACTCCCTACAACAGTAAAGCTTCAGAAGCTTTACTGTTGTGCTTTTTTGGTTTTTTGAATAAAGTAATTATGGCAGCAGCGTGGTTGTCAAACTTATCATTGTACACTTTTTTGTGAGTAAAGCAACACCCAGTCAACAGGTGGTCTGGTATCATATTACAAGAAAACCTGATGTCCCGCCAGAACACCAGATTTCTGGTGTAATATCAGAACACCAGATTTCTGGTGTCGTACCCACAGATCAGATTTCTGGTGTCACAACAGAACACCAGGTTTCTGGTGTCATACCCACACATCAGATTTCTGGTGTCACAACAGAACACCAGGTTTCTGGTGTCACACCAGAAAACGTCCCAAATCACATCTGTGAAAAAGTCTGGTGTGACATCAAGTCACACCAGCCCTCGAGCTGGTGTATTTTTCACTAGGGCATGTTCACAGTTAGCAGCTCTTGTGCTTTCTCGCCGAGTTCGAGTTGCAAGTATGCCTTGAAAAGGTCCAGTACCGTGAAAACAGTGCCACTCTTCAAGGAGACAAGTATGTCCTCAGCAGTAGGCAACGGGTAGTGGTTTATTTTTATGTTGGGGTTCACGGTCAGCCGATATTCACCACAAAGCCCAACAGCAGAGATCTTTTGCTTTGGCACTATGACCGAGGGCGTAGACCAGGCACTGTGCCTCTATCTAACGATGACACCAGCTTTTTCTAAGCCTTTAATTTCTTTCTCGACCACCTCCGACAGAGCGTAGGGGACTGGTCTCGCCTTACAGAACATGGGGTTAGCATCCTCGTGCACAATGCTACCCCGAAAACCCTTAATCTCTACATAGCCTGGTTCAAGCACATCAGGGAACTTTTATTTAAAGGACTTTTCTTTTTGAGATATTTTTCCTCGTTTAGTGAATTCACCGGCACGAGCTCGGGCCAGTTTATTCTGAATTAGGCAAGCCAATCTCGGCCAAAAAGAGTTTGCATTCGTCCCTCATACTGGTTCTTAGCTATCACTATCGGCAAGTGGTACGTCTGACCGTTGCACTGTATTCTGACATTTACGCTACCTTTCACAGGCACTGGCGTTCCGTTGTACGTAATAAGTCGCACATCCGAACCACATCAGAGCACTCTACACCCGGGAAGTGTTTCATAAACTCCATCTGTGCCATTAGCGATACAACCGAACACGTGTCCAGTTCCAGTGGAACCTCTTTACCATTCATGTTTACATTTACAACAAACGCGGGACTTTATGTTACTCGGTTGAGGGCTATGACAAATGAAAGGTCTGTCTCCGGCTTTCCTGATCCTTCAGGTTTTGACTTTTTTGCAAGAGAAGTCATGTACTGCTTTTGTTTTCAACATTTTAGCTACGTGGCCTGTTTTAGAACGTTTAAAACAGGTACTGTTCAAGAATGGCCACGTTTCGGGAAGATGCGAATCTCTCCATCGATAGCAATTGGTACAGGCAATCTTTTGTCGATTATTTTCCCAAGCTCCCTTGTGGTTGATTCTGCGTCCGCTGTTCTGCTGCTTGGTACAGCCTTGCTTGCTTGGCTTGTCGAAACGGCGTTGCCAGTTCACGTCGGCGGTACTGAGTGTGGACGCTGCTAGTATCTCCTTGGTGTCCTTGTTTCCGGCTTGCACGGCTTTTGCCACGTTGAAAACGCTCTCCCACGGGGCGCCCTTGTCGTCCATGGCAAGCAGACGGGAACAAACGGCTTCGTTTCGGAGCCCTGCAACCAAGTGGTCTCGTAGCGCCTCCTCCAGCAAAATGCCGAACGCGAAAGTGGCTGCTAATGTATTCAGTGCAACGACGAAGTCCGAGATTCTTTCTGCGGGACCCTGGTCACGTCGATAAAATCGGTAACGTTCTGTGACGACCGATCGTTTTGGAGCATAGTGCTTTCGTAGCACCGCAACCGCCTTGTCATATCCGGCTTCCGTCGGCGTTTTCGGTAGAAGTAAGGTGCGCAGCGTAACGTAGGCTTTCTTGCCTAGCACGGTAAAAAGAACGAGCAACTTCTTGCCTTTTGCAAGATCGGTCGCGGCTGCATACAGGTTGGACCACTCAAGGTACACATCGATGCCACCTGAGTCTACGCAGAACTCCGGAATATTCCCACAATAGTTGAAGCAGTCGACGTCATCGTCGTCATTCATATGATCCTATCTTCTACTCGCAAAATGTTGTATCTTCTCATGAATTGGGAGGCCGGGTACTCAAGGAGACATCGGAGACATCTTTATGTTCCAGACCCAAGCCTACGCGTCACGCGACGCACGTGACATAAAACTATATACAGACAGTCACACCTGGCAGTCACTGTGGGAACCACTGAGATTAATATATACAAACTGAAACTGGTTTACAACAGATACAAAAGGAAGCGAGAAATCGGACGGGACAGAGCGCTGTCCTGTGCGGTTTGTCTCTTCTTTTTGTATCGTTTGCGCTGTTTTATTACAGTATGTCTAACTGTTATAATTTCTTGCGGCAAGTTAATTTTTAACATTGCCATTCTTTTATTATGACTCACACTAGTCCTACTTTGGGTTTACCAAACTCAATATCTGAACTTGAGTATCAATTTTTTGTATTTTCCAGTTCCGTAGCTTTGGTTAAAATAAACACACAGCTACCTAGATGAGAAAACTGACTCCCCTCTTCCCCCCCCCCCCCCCCCCAGAAATAGTTAATTTCTTTTGAATTTAGGTATATAGTTCCTCAAGCTAGAATTTCGGAAACCGAAGTCTATCCCGTCATCACGTTTTCCTGGAAATCCACAAAGAGCCAGACACAAGCACGAGAAAAGTGCCGGCCCGTCGTATAAATCTTATTACATTGAAATATGTGTAATCGTCCTTCGAAATCCCCGTGGTGTGCTAATGGCGCACAGGCAATTTTATATTTTTTTCAACACGACGATTCTTTTGTTGGCCATCTGTCTCAATATTTGGCCCAGGAAGACTTTCGCGCTTGGTTCTTACAACTTTTGCTAGAGACGTGAGCTCGGAGCGTAGGCAACTGGCCTCCTTGCACGAGAACTGGCGCAGCGGTGCGCGTTCCGAGGAAAGCTCGCGCAGAGAAAACCAAGCGAAGGGCCGGGGATGTCAAATTCAGGATATAGAAAAACACCCCACTGTATCGAAGCGCCGCCACACACAATTTCTCGCATTGATGTGTAGGTCTGCAAGCCGATCCCAGCGCCATCTGTTGGTTCACAATCATACCAACCAAGTTTGGGGTTGAACATTATAAAGTATTACCCTGGAAAGGTAGTGCAGCACGGCGCAATCGCCAAATACCACACCCTGAACACCGAATGCCTCACAAATTTGACATAAACAATATCAGCCGCATCAAAAATTAAAAAAAAAATAAAATAAAACATAAACTTAGCTTTTTTATGTATGATGTTTGGGAGATAATGTGACAAAGTAAGGCCACTGTAGATGTGCTAGAGCAGCACAAGTTGTTGAGGCAGAAACCCTCCAACGGTAAATGAGTGCAACAGAGACCTAGCTAAACGTTTTTTTTTCTTTTTATTTAAAACAATTGGAAGAGGTTTTTTTCTGAATATTAATTATTGATTTTCAAAAATTAATCCAAACAATATTGACAATTTTTTTTAAGTGGCGAACAATTTGTTATTCTGGACTTCTTTTTTATATGCACAAAAAATTCAGGCGCAATGCAAACGGCACCTAAAATCGTTATGCTATTTTTTGTCAAAAGTGACTACACTATGAAATTCATGGTACACGAAAAGAAAGCTTAAACAGATAATTAGAATATATGTTCAAGAATCGCCTCAAATGCAAGGAAGAAAAGTATGCAGGCTAGATTGTTGGCAACGCTTTTAAAACACTCAGTTGGGAAACTCGCCGTCGAGTTTCCCAACTGGCGTCCACCGAGATCGAGCTAAACACGACCACAGCGCCACTCTTTATCATTTGCCTGTACTGTGGTCACCTTGAGCCCGTTTTTGCGTAAAAACAAACGAAAGGCTCTTTTTTACAAAATGTATTAGAGTTTAGTACAAAATGAAGGGCGCGTGGATTTTTGAAAATCTTTAGTTTGCAAGGTTTTGCGGCACAATTAATATTGTTTTTATACAACCATGCCTCAGCGGTGCTTTCAGGTAGCGCATCCCGACCTAGGTGTATTTTAGCTTCGGTAAAAAGACGCGGCGCGTCCGCCGACAAGGCGGGGGTGGCACCCCTGTAACCTCTTCCACCGTATCTTTATCGGCGCCAAAATGGCCGATTAAAGCCAAAATAGCAGTAAAGTGCGGTTCCTTGAATGGCCGCTGCGGGAGAAATGGTGGCATCGTGTTCGGCATTAGCTCGGTGTACGAGGACAAATCGAAGCCACTTTTCCAAAGCAGTCTCTTTGGCAGTCTCCCAACTGAGGGGTTTAATAACGTTGATTGTTGGGAAAGATCACTGAAAGAAAACCTGAGACGTTGCCGTGCTGTCCGTTTTCTTATTTGTGTCAGTCTCGGGTTTCCCTTCAATGATGTGACCTCAAATGCTCTTCTACGTTCTGCCAGCATCGCGACATCGGACCATGTGACACGACGGCTTCTGTGACGCCATTCCTTGAGACTTCGGAACTACTTTTGATGCATCAGCGGAATAGGACGCTTAACACATAAGTCGAAGATGCGTTCCTAGTACTGCTGCATCAGTAGGTGTCTGTAAAATAAAAAACGACCCAACCCAGTCGTGTTGCATAACCCGTTGATGTGTTATACTTACATGGTGCTATACTTTTATTTACAATTATTGTTTTCTAAAAAAATCTTGCTTTACTTTTTTCTGCATCAGCAAGCACTGAAGAATCGGCGTTTGCGTCAGGTAAGTAAGCTGTTTACAGCTTCTTTGACAATCCCGCATGACATGTCACATAAATATCTGGACAAAATCAAGATACATTAGGAAAATATTTCAAGTATTTTTTTTAAATTAACTCGTTGCGTAGGGAACTCTAATATTTTTTCGCGCTTTGTTACCTTGAACTTCAAGGTAACAAGGTACTTTGTTACCTTGAACGAGCGCGTTCGTTCAAGGTAACTTGAACTTCTGTGAATTTTCAATTTATTCTGCTCAACCCTGGGGACATTGTGTCCCTTAGTGTTGGACAAACAAAGTTAATTCATTTAACTCAGCTATTAGAGGTTGAAGCAGTGTCAATTACACTGTTTCACGTGGAGTGGTGTTAATAAAAGAGATTAAGGTCAAACAACGTATGAAAATATTTATTAGCTCTTAGGAATTGACTTACACTGATAGGACATTGCATATACTGTCAGTCGCTCGTCAGGATGTATAGATTCTACTGACAAACTTTGTGAAGAGATCCGTTGATTTATGAGGTTTTCATGACAATGTGATTCCACTAGTTTGAATTGGCGAAACATTTTCCGCATTAATATAATGCGAAACCTTAAGCGTACGCGTAATTATTATTTTTTCAAATAGGCAATTAAATCATGTTCTGCGGATAGCAAGTTATCACAATAGTTATTATGCGAGAGATGTTCATCCGTTTTGAAGAACTTTGAAGGTACTCAGTTTTTCCGAGAAATACACTACACCGACTGCGACCCAGGGTCGCAGAGGGTAGAGCGTATTTACAGGGAGCCCGAGTAGGTGAGCACTTGTCACGATGTCCGGTGATGCCGTTCTTCCAACCGCGCCTACTTCTTTCTTCGCTTTTTTTTTTAGATAGCCATCGAACTCTTTAAGTTCGTCTTGCAGAAATCCGTGAAGTTACTGTCTACCACAAGGGTTCTTTTATATAAAAGTATTCCTTTTTGCCTAGAAAAAAATTACGCACCTTGAGAATAAAAAAGAAACCGCGCGTAAAAAAAGACAAAATCCCAATTATCTTTTTTTCTACATTAACGGCCTGCATTTATATTATAACTTTTGTAAATATGGCTTTTGACGTGCACAGGCAAGACGAGTGGTTTCTAAGTCGAAGCAGAAATTAAGGCTTCTTTTTCTTAAGGATGAAAAATTTCGTGCAGTGAAAGTTCAAAGAACAATTTAGAAAAACAATTTTTTTTTTTCGTATGTGCATTTTAAAGGCGGATTATACTGAGTTTTGAGATTCTCGTGTTATGGTCCTAACTCAATCTACGATCTCTAAGCATCATAAAAAAAAACGAAATTGCATATTCACGGCCAATTTGCATATTAAAAAGTGATCAGTTCCCAACACTTACTATCGGCGCAGAACGACAGATGGCGTTACCGAACCTTGCTGAATATGGTCGAACGACGGACGGCGTCTTTCAGCCACTCGCCAGCGATGAGTTCACGCGTGGATGAGCGGCCGACCAGTCCCGCTTGTCTACGCGGGAACCCACAGCTCTCCCGCGTCTGACAGGCGCCGTCCGTTTTTCGACCGTATTCACCCAGGTTTGGTAGCGCCATCTGTCATTTTGCATCAACGTCAAGTGTCGGGATGTTATAATTTCTTAAATACGCGAACCGACCGAGCGTAAAAATTGTATCGTTTTTTTTTTTTTTTTTTTTGTTAAAACTCTTAGAGTGAGTTACGACAATAAAACGAGGATCCCAAAGAGCTCATTAGTGTTCTTTAAGACTGCTCCTCACAGCAAAACTTCTTACGCTTACGAAAGTAATTTACGAGCTATGACCGAGAGTCACCGGTGTATCTTCGCTTCGTACGAACCGTTGCAACTAGTTAAACGAGTAGGACATTGTTAAAACCGGAGAGCCGCGAAACAAATGACATCAAACACCACGTCTTGTGACGAGTCGTTGTCTGTCATATTATTTCCTTCGTCTTAGGTTTTAACTATGTGTAACTTAAACCAGCTCGCATATTTATTAACATTAATATCAGAAAAAGATGTCGGCACACGCAATACGAAGCATAGGTGCGCGGCTCACTTGCGGTCGTATCCCGACGGAAGCGTACGAACGCTACGAAACAAACAAAAAGTGCTGTGTGAAAAAGTCTTTAGACATAGTCGCCGATGTTTCCGATCCGCACAAAGGGTGCTTTCTTCTATCTCTGCTCGGTAACTATTAGAAAACTCATGGGATACAAGTAAGACGCGTTATAACTTTGAGAGCTCTCATCCGTTATCGGTTGTTGTGTTTTGTATCTAGTTGTGGCACCG